AGTCACCTTGCTGGGGTCGTTTGACCCCAGTACTCTTTCCTGCCATGGCAGGGGGTTGGACTTGATGATCTGCTCAGGTCCCTTCTGACCCTACTGACTATGAAACTATGATATGGCTGTGAATGAAAGTTCACCATGAATATTTTGGCCCTTATTACTAGAACACGAAGTAGGAGTTTGCCGCTACCTTTCTGGTGTGACCTTGGGCAAGTGATTTATGTATTCTGGCCAGGTACAGACATTATACTTTTACTGGCATAAGTGATTGGGCCTTCTTCTATTCCTGTAACAGAACAGAAGTTCGGTGCACACAGACTGGTTTAAAAATGGCAGAACCTGGTGTAAGATTTGCCTCCCCCACAAAGTGCGAATGTGCGTTCTCTTCACTATCAATCTAAGATACACCACGTAGAGAAAGCCACGCAACTTAGATCGATACTGCCTCAAGCTTTTTGAATATTTGTACCTTGCCTCTGTAACTGAATTTTCCCGTTCATTTTAACTGCTTTGAAATCTTTGATCCAAACAACAAAATATACATGAAGAAGTGTCTGTTATCTTAATTTTGTTTCTGTGGGAAAAGAGCAGTAGCAGCAGTTTCACTGCTGGAAAACCCTGTGTCCTGTAACAACTGATTCACTTGCATTATTTTCAGTTGTATGAGTTTTTCTTATTCTATCTGCCTGCAGCAAAGTGTGTTGACCTGCAATTATCTATTTAATGTTATGTGAATATGCCTTCATTCTGTTCAGGAGTAAAAGCATTATATATTTGCACTACAAATAATGACACTTGCTTTCAATTCTCAGATACCTCTTCTGGCTCAGAAGATGAAGGCTCTGTACAGGGCGATTCCCAGGGAACTCCCACCTCAAGCCAAGGGAGTATAAACATGGAACATTGGATCAGTCAAGCGATCCATGGCTCGACCACATCTACTACTTCCTCCTCCTCAACACAAAGTGGAGGCAGTGGTGCTGCGCACAGGCTAGCTGATGTTATGGCTCAAACGCATATAGGTTAGTAAATCACTTCTTTGAGCGTGTCTTAGATTTCATGATTTCATAGATTTTTAGGGTCAGAAGTGACTTAGTAGATCATTGAATCCAACCCCCCGCCCTGGGCAGGAAAGAGCGCTGGGGTCAGATGACCCCAGCCAGGTGCTTGTCCAGTCTCCTCTTAAAGCGCCCCAGGGTAGGGGAGAGCACCTCCTCCCTTGGAAGCCCATTTCAGATTTTGACAACCCGTACTGTAAAGAAATGTTTCCTAATGTCTAATCTAAATCTGCTCTCCATCAGTTTTGGTCATTGTTCCTAGTAACCCCAAGGGGTGCCCTGGTAAGCAGTATCCCCTATTCCTTGCTGTGCCCCCCACCCCTCCCGAATTTGTAGACAGCCACAAGATATCGCCTCTTAGCCTCCTTTTGCTGAGACTGAAGAGATGCAGGTCCCTCAGTCTCTTCTCATAGCATCTTACCTACAGGCCCTTAACCATATGAGTAGCTCTCCTCTGGACCCTCTCAAGGTTATCCACATCCTTCTTGACCTGCGGTGTCCAGAACTGGACATGGTACTCCAGCTGCAGTCTTGTTTTCAGCCTGGTGTTTTTGATTTAACAGATGTCTATTGCCACATTTGATTGGTGTTACAGATTTGAAATTTGGATGCAGTTGTCTGTACAAAGGTCTCTTGGGCTTTTTCTCCCTTCTTCCTCTCTCTCATTAACACAGTTTAGGGGGAAACATTTCTGTTTATTTGTTCTGAAGCTTCTCAGGTAAACTTCCACTTGGCACAAGGGCTCTGTTTAGCTCCCAAATTGTTCAAAGTTTCATTTGTATGACTTGCACTAAATTTAAAAAAGTACTTCATTAGGATACTTTAACAGAAGGAATTAGCTTGAGCATTGTCAGGAATTGCTTGCTTGTATACAGTCTTCCCAGACTACCACAGCATTTGCATTGTACTCCCAGGCTGCATGGTTTTCTGTACTCCTGTGTTTACACTAAGCCTATTATCAGAATGTTTTCAAGCTTGTAGTTTTGTTTAAATCTCTAACTGATCATAGCATAAATTAGATTAGATTAGATTTGGATATCTGACTATATATACCACATGAAGGAAAAACTCATGGAAAGGAGGTTGTTAGTGCTGTATTATCAATATTGCTAGCAGGCTGTTGGGGCTGGGGTAGTGTGGGCACCAGCGTGCCCGGTTGACCATCTAGAGGTTGCAAGTTTGAGGCCATAGCAGAAGCGCTTCCAGCACAGCCCTGTCAGATTTCAACGAATCTGTGAATTCTGCTAAATAGCTTGTCACACAAGAACATGGGGAAGTAACTAACTAAATCTCTTTTAGTTCTCTTGCTTTCCCTTACACACTAAGATTAATAAGTATTACTTATTTCTGAATGTTTGATGTTGAAGCCATCACTTAAATGAAACAATTGTTGAAAGCAGCCAAATGGTAAACAAGGGTTGCTACCAATTCTAACAGTCTGGATGGCTATTACTCATTTTACATAGCTTGTGGGAGTTTTAATTCCTTAAATCTGCTTCAGGGAGATTATTGTTGCAATTCTGTATCAGAATATTTTATTGCATGCATTTGGTACAGATATAGGAAAATCCTGGAGTAAATGTGGCAAACTTTTCAGGGCAATGGTGTGGTGATAAATTGGATGCAGGTTACTGGGAGGCTTTTATGTACTTTCTTGTCAAAAGGAAGAAAAACTATAGGTTGCAAGCAGCTTTCCAGCTTTTATAAAGCAGTAAATGAAAGCGTCTTAAATGCTTCTAGTTTCATGTGCTGGAACAGTAGTCTTTATACCTTTGACTTCTATCACCATGTCTTGATGTGACACCTGTATTATCAAATAAGTAATCCTTTCCCCTAGGCTCTGAAAACACAGCATCACAGTTGGGAGAGGCATTGTGTTCTTAAATTCATGTTTAATGAATAGTCCAGGTCCTTGTTTTAGAAAGGCATGCACTTCTGAACAGATTAATCACTGCATTTGGTTTTCCTCTATGACTTCATCTTGAAATGAAAGAGGAAACTATAGCATACAGAATTAAATTTATCCAAACAGCAAATGGGTGCATTACTTACACGTGTGCACACATACATGCTTGCCCACACATG